TTTTTTTTTTTTTTTTTTTTTTATGAAACATTTACATCAAGCCATTCCCTCTCCCATTGGAATGCTGCCCCCTTGAATCTGATGAAGAACTCGGAAAAGAATAGTTTGATGATCTCTTCTTCTTATGGGTATTCCATGTAATTATTTGCCCCTTCCAGGAGCTTGTTGAATCTTCAGCCTTTGCTACACCTTGATATTTGGGTGTCTCAGGCATGCCCAAATCAGAAATGAGTATCTTAGGTGATTTCTCTATGATTCCCCCATGAGACTTGAATCTCTTTCGTGCCGAACCAGAGGTTTCTTCACTTGTTCCTTCACTTGCAGCAGGTACATTCTCATTCCTTAATTCACTAAGCTTTTTCTCTGCTCCTAAGTTATTAGTAGCCAGTTCATTGCCCTCAGGGGAAAGATGGTCCCTCCCCTTCCTTTTACTTGATAACTTTGCCATGTCTTCTCCATGTTCCACAGCCTTCATCCACTGTAAATCACTTAATGTGTCAGAATAAACCACTTCCTTCCTTTTCCGCTTCCCCAAGCCACCATTATTGCTTTCAAAATGTTTGCCCTTGTCTTCCTTAGCGTTAAGTGCAAAATATACCCACTCAGGTACCTCGTGTTCTTCCATTAGACGGGATTTGTAATTCTCCTTTACTCTCCTCTCCTCATCCATTTGCTCAAACATCCAGAACTCCTCATCAGTTCGGGCTGAAAGCCGGTTGATCTCTCTCTCACTTGGCACATCAGTTCCAAGTGACCTTGTTCCTCTACGCATGATTTCCTCCAACATCTCTTTTCTATCTTGAGCTGTTCAAGCAAATATGAACTGCATTGGCAAAGCGGAAGACTATTGAACAGATGCAAAAGCTCGTTTCAATACTTATCAAAGCTGACACAGAGCTTGTTTCCAAGGGAACTGTCAAGTTATGTTATTTATTAAGGGTACATTTAGGTAATATATCTCCACATTCAATATATGTAAAACAGTACTGAAAGAAAGGAACAGTTTTTTTGGGGTTTCAAGATAGTTACTCCTACCTAGGTTTCCAAAATTTCTTTCATTAGGTTCACTAGTTTATTTGGTTTGTTCAAACTCATCACAATTAAAAAGAAATAACAACAGCATTGAAAATATTTAAGAATTGCATAATGTAGCAAAATAGACCTGTAGAAGTTGTATTGAAAAGTCCAGCTTGGATGACCTTGGCATCAATACCCATCTTCTGCTTTGCACGCTCTAAAATTACCTCTTCAATTGATCCCACACTAACCAGTATAAAAACCCTGACTTCTTTTTTCTATCCTATACGATGGGCCCGATCTTCTGTCTGTTGATCCATTTGGGGATTCCAATCACTATAAAAAATGATGACGGTATTTGCTGTTTGTAAATTCAGCCCAAGACCTCTAGTGCAAGTGCTCAATAGAAACATAAAGTAGGGAGAGTCTGGTTCATTAAATTTCTTTAGCAAAGTCCGTCTTTCCTCTGTTTTTGTAGTACCATCAAGTCTAAAATACTTAAAATCATTGAGTCTCAAGTATATTTCAAGAATGCTCATTAGACGTGTTATTTGGGAGAAAAGCAGCACTCTGTGGCCAACTCGTTTAAGTTTTGGTAGTAACCGATCAAGAAGCTCAAATTTCCCTGATGCTTTGACAATCTCCTCTTTTTGCCACCAGTTGTATTCTCTATCTATGAAGAGGTTGGCATGGTTGCAACACTTAGTTGCATGGTAAGATTCTGTAGGCTCTTCGAACGCCCATTGCTTGCAAAATTTTGTTTTAAATAGTAACTTAATAAATTTAGTTAATTTAAAATTGAATAAATAAACTTATATAATATTATCATGAAATTTTATTTTATTTTTTAAACAAAAAAAATTTTAAAAATGAGAGAAGACTCTAGGATATAAAATTTAAAATATTACTGTTTTAATATTTACTAAAAAAGAATAATCTCTAAACCACTTAATGTCGAATCATTATTAAATTTTATTATTACTAGATGAATGATATTAAGGACAATTATACATACACCCAAACAATCAACACCCATCTCAACACCTAAGGCTAAAATGAAGAGGGGTAAATTTGTAATTTTACTGTTCATAAACCTTGGGTGTTGAGATGAGTGTTGATTGTTTGGGTGTATGTATAATTATCCATGATATTAATCATTAAATGAATTGTCCAGCATTATTTTCCAAAGGTGGTTATCAACAAAAACTCCCAACCACGGCTTTCTTCATCACCACCACTTACGACTTCTCCATGGCTATTGCTGACGAAGTTGTCGCAGAGCTCGAGACCTTAGTACGAGTCTACAAAGACGGCTCGGTGGAGAGATGCCAAGCTCCGATTGTCCCACCGCCGCTCCAAGATCCTGAAACCCGTGTCTCATCAAAAGACATCACCATCTCTGCAAACCCTCGGCTCCCATCTCCGCCAGAATATACCTCCCCAACCTATCCGATCCTTCCCGCCAAAAGCTCACCGTCCTCGTCTACTTCCATGGTGGTGGCTTCTGCATAGAATCCACCTTCAACTTAACCGAAACCACATTCACAAACAGTTGACTTTATTTTTACTCTCTTAATTTCGTCTTAGCATAGTAGAGGTTTTTTATTTTATATTCAGATTAAGAATTTATGGTAAGTTTATGATTTTTATTTATATTACCCTAAAGAAAACTTAAATCACAATTGAATGGACAAATAAAGTAATGAAATAATAGTAAAATTAAAGTAGAAAAAAAATATTTAGTTCTCTTAAAATATAAAAAATAATTGTTATTTTAAGATAAATTTTAAATAAAAAATATTATTTTGGAACAAAAAAATATTAATAAAATATTATGCAATCTAAACAATAATGATTTAAATTTAGTTTGATAAACTGATTTATAATTACAATTGTAGGTTTTTTAATCTTTTAACATCTTAAAAATTTATAAAAATATATTTTATATATTTAATATTTATTTTAATTAATATATTTTATATATTTTTAAAATAATAAAAAACATAAGAACTAAAAAGTAAAATAGCAAAAAATGTTTTCAAATGAAATTTTAGTTATTGAATGTAATATTTCCAAGCACCCCCAATATTAAAAGTTATTTTCTCACTCTATAATTCATGTTAACCTAAATTCAAATTGCAAAATAAAATTTTTGTTAATACGAGCGATTTTGGAGGAAGGGAGAATTTTTTTTAAAGTAATAGAGAGTAATAGAACTCTCGGCCTACTTAACTTCAAGCTTTTAAATTTAATTAGTAACCAATTGCTCCGATGTGCTGGTTCGATTTGTGTTAGTTATTTATTATTGACTTATTGCATGATTTAAATTGATGATTTTGAGAGCAGGTTGGTGCATCACGCCAAAGTGGTGGCTGTCTCAATTGAGTACAGGCTAGCTCCAGAGCACCCTCTTCCTATTGCTTTTGAGGATTGTTGGGCCCGGCTCCAATGGGTCGCGGCCCATTCTGGCCCAAATGTGATTTCCGAGGAGCCCTGGTTGTCCTGCGCAGATTTTGAACGGCTTTACCTTGGCGGTGACAACGCCGGAGCTTCCCTCGCTCACTACGTAGTAATGAGCGCCGGTAAAGAGAGCTTACCCAACAATGTCAAGATCAGCAGAGCCTTCTATACCCATCCGTACTTCTGGGGTTCAGAGGCCGTCGGTTCTGAA